GTGTAAGTGCAGTTGACACCACAACATCTGCTCCAACAACAATTTCTGCGACAACGATTTCAACAGCTCTTGGTAACATAAGAAATATAATAATTTTTTAAACAGCGAAAAAAAAGTACTAGAAGTTTCTATTTTTTTTCTAGCTCCTTTTTCTTGCTAAAGAGCAGCTTATTGAAAGAATAAATGTTGAAAAGTAAATGATCTAGGTTTTACTTGACTGAAAATGTACCAAAAAGATTCTGGTGTTTCTAGTCTGTGCAAGAAACGTTTCCAGTTAACTAAGTTTTGGCTGTCCTTTGTAATACGCAGGATTTTCACTAAGTTTTTTAAAGACATAAAAGTAAAAACAGACTGTTTCTTTTTTTCCCATAATTTTGCTTTTCCTTTTTCCACAGGTTGCGAAGACAACGCTATAAACTGTCGCCAAAATGCTGCACTGTGCAACTATTTGGCCTACAAAAAAGTTATGCAACAACACTGCAAAAAAACTTGTGGTTACTGTGGGACAGGTTCATGTAAGTCTTCCTGGCTTTCTCAACTTTTTCCGTTTCAATTAAAACAAATTCAAATTTTCGATAAGTTATCAGCCTTTTCTGTATGGAATGAAGAGAACTAAAGACTGGATCTAGTAAGTTTAGTGCAGCTGATCGCTTCATTCAAAGGTAGCAAATAGTAATAAAGTTTTACTTTTAGCGCCAGCATGTAACGACACAGCTACCAATTGCGCAAATCAAAAAGATTATTGTACAGTAGCTTCATACAAGGCGTTGATGAAGACAGTTTTTCAACACACCTGTAATTACTGTTGATTATTGCCATTCTGGTTTTAAAAATCTTTCTAATGATTCAACAGTATGATAATTGCAGTCAATTTCAAGAAGTAAAACTTTTGTAATGCGGTACTAGCAAAACAAACTGTAGACATAAGACAAAGCTGAAGTCACTTTTCTTTCTGTGCATAATAACAGAAATCTAGAAATCTAAATTTTCGTTCTCTTTACCAACATTTTCTTCACTGACCAACTGCGTAGCTGAAAGCAGGGCGTGAACGATAGCAGCAAAGAGGAGCAATCTTCAATGTCATCCAATGAAAAATTTTGTTTGCCACATTCTACTTACGCAATTACTCTCTTCTTTTTGAAAAAACTACTCTGTCTAGAGATAACTGTAAATTTTTTCTTCTCACATTTGGTAGTAAAGGAGAAGCAATTTTTCAAAAAGTCAATCAAACAAAGGAAAAACATGAAACTTCCAAATGGACTTTTTTCTTGTATGTGTTGGAACGTTAGAGAATTGAAGCAGTTAATTTTCCAATGTCTGAAGAAAGACTATTAATTGCTTGAGCTAGTGTAAGATGTATTGCTAAATGACTCTATTAGTTTAGGAAATAAACGAGCTGGTACATCAAAGTAAAAAATAACAATTTTCTGTCATTTAAACGTAGAAATTATTGATATGCGAAACTTGATAATATAAACCGATTTTCAGAGGACGGCTTGCTAGATGGGAGTTTAACCGGTTGTTTACAGGTAAATAACATAAAAAGCGGAAATTTCTGTCGTTCGCATCCTACCGTTACACAGAATATTAATTTCTAAATGTCACTGCAGACGTTGGAAGACATTAAAAACGAGCTTATCTCAACTAAAGTCGACAATCGGTTTTTTGAGTCACAAGTCCCTCTTTTCTGCTAGCCTGCGCTTTTTGCAGAAACGCATAAGAGTTGTAGAATAATATCTGTGGGCGGCTTAGGGGTTGATTTCAGAACCGATTTGAGACTGGCTGAAGATGTTCGGAACACGGTTTCAGACATACCGTTGTTCCAACTTTGAAATTGAGCTGCCAAAATAATTTTTGCATTTGTACAGTTGCAAAGCCGTTTTGTAAACGCCTGAAAATACTTTGGTAAATATTGTAATAACTGGCAGCGAAAAAAAAGAAGAAGCAAATTTAAAGCGAATTTTCTCCAGAAAAAAGCAACACAGGGAGATATTTAAAAAAGGTACAATAAACCGTTTGTTCACGAGTCCTCGACCAATCTGTATTCCCAGCTAAATCCCACGTCTGTTAAAGAAACGCGGAAGTTAACTGGTAATCTTTTATAAAGGATATATGCTAACAAGCAGAAAACTATAATTTGTTGGTTGGTTATCGATTGTTGCACAATGAAAGAAAAGTATCAGGGAAAAGTAATGTAACACTGCATAAACCGAAAAACAAGGTTTGCACTATTTTCTAATTACGCATTGTTTCTTCTGAACCGAACAAACCTTTCAGAGTTCGGCAAGCGTACAAAGAGGAAGTTTCAATAAATAAGAATTTGTCGGACCTGACAATTAAAATGTTGCCTTACTTTAAAATTCACACAGACTCTTGCGAGATTATACCTTCAATTGTAAAGCGCAGTAATAAATCAATTCTGAAGCCTGAATTTGCAAGCTAAAATGCTTCCACAACCAATAGGTGCTGTAAAGTCAAAACAAAGCTATTCCTTTTTTTCTAAAATCTTGCACTGATCTTTTTCTGTCACTTTTTCTATGCAAGTCCAAAGTTTTTGCGTTTTTCAGGTTGCAAATTAACAAAGGCTCTACGTAATTTTCTACCCGAATGCTCACTGAGACTAAATAAAAAAGAAGCTTAGCAAAGGCACGAAAACGCTGTTTGAAAACTCGATTGATATATTCATTTGCAGTTGAAAGTGTAACTTTTCAGGCTTTTCTTCAGTTTTTTACTTCTGACTTTTGAGTATATGGCTGTGAGCATTCTCTCAATTGATTTTGCAGCACACTGTTTATTTGATTTCCAATACCATCAATTTTGTCTACTTTTACACTTCCTGCTGGTTTTTCTTCTGGATAAAATTTGCAGTGTTGACCACAATTTTCTTCTTAGTAAGCAGCTTGTTAGACTGGTTAGAAAAACGGTCGTTTAAAATTTTTATTATTACTATCGCTTCTTAGACTGAAGACCAGTAGTTAAGTTAATTACGACTCCCAGCCAACAGCTGATGCAACAAAACGTTGTATACTCAAATTATCGCGTGGTGCTCACAGTTGATACAAGTTGATAAAAGAAAAAATAATTAACTGTAAACCAAAATACCACCTTTAAAGATAATTTCATGGAAAACACAGTAATTTGAGTATGAAAAAGCAATAACTTCAATAAGCTGTTTTTAACCACATCTGTCAGTTGAAATGAAAATACAAATAGTTCTCTTAAAACAACTTTGTTTTCTGCGAAACGAATGAAGAGTTCGGTTAAATGAAAAAAGAGTGACATTTTTCTTAATATCAGCGTTGTGGTATTTTTCAAAACAAAGAGATGCGAAAAAAGAGCTTTTGATTGCATTTTGGTGAGATTTTTCGACATAAAAATTCTTTCTCTATTAAATAACTATGTGACTTTACACTCCTGAGTAAAATACTAATTCATCAAAGAATTTGTGATAGAAATTTTGCCAAACACAGCTTTACCAAAAAGCTGTTTTCTATGACATCAGATTGCCAGAAAAAAAAACACTGTCCTGAAACGGTTCCTTATTTACATCTGCTTCATGAGCAAAAAAAGCGTAGACAGCTTCAACTTCTTATCAGTAAAAAACAGAAGAAACCAGAAAAAACTTATAATTTCAATGTTATCAAACTTGGGCAAAAAAAAATATTTTTTAGTATGAGTCGAGAACAATTAGTCAACTAAAAGAGATTTTTAAAATATCATATCTATTTTTAAAACATTATACCAGACAATCAAGAACAGCATTTTAGTTAGTCATAAACTTTAGTTTAAATAAGCGAATGAAAAATACCGATATTATTGAGCTAAATGTGAGATACAAAAAATAAATGATGATTCTAGTAGCTCTACTAAGAGACATTTTTTATAAAACATTATTCTTTTTTGCGAAACTTTAAAACCACACTTCTTTGTCAAAATTTCAAATTGAAAAGTGAATTTTGTGGCTTGAGATTATCAGCTGTCGCTTTTTTCCTCTAACCAAACTAAACAATTTTTTCTCTAGATAAGGAGAAAATTTCAGTTTATCCAATAAAGAGTCTATAGCAGTCGTAACTTTTTAAAGTTTGTAAGGAAAAACTG